TAAGTGATTTACCCATCACCATTACCATATAGAGTATTCTGAATTTAACTATATGTTTGCCTTTACCAGTGAGTTTTATTCTTTCATATGTTTTCGTGTTACTAATCACTATCGTTTCATTTCAGCTTGAAGAACTCCTTTTAACATTTCTTGTAAGATCAGTCTGGTGGTGCTAAACTCCTTCAGCTTTTGTTTGTCTGGAAAACTCAATGTCCAGACTTTCACCTAGATAATCATCACCTAGATGAAGGCTCATTAGAAGCCAGACCCTCAGGCAGCAGCTGGGAAAGTATGTATTTAAGCCTCTTCCAGGGAGATAATGGGAGATGGACATTTCTGCCTGCTACCTCTGTGCTGAGCCTGGATGACTATCTGTTGGGGGCTTATAAGAGCTGCTTCTTTGTTTGCTACAGTCTTTTGGGTCTCGTAGACATTAGCCTCTTTGGCTTTCAGAGCTAGGTGTATTGGGGGCACATCCCTTGGGTGAGAGTCTTAAAAGCTGGGGTGCTAGATGTACCGTCCAAACCCTTTGCTTCTCAGAGAGAAGCTGAGAGTTGGTGGTTTCCTCCTGGTTGTATGACACTGTGCCAGGGGTGGGGTTTATGGTGAAAGTGTGTCTCAGCCTTTCGTACTTGTTTCTATGTGGGAATTTTCTCAATGCCTGTTGTGTAGGAGTCACTCAACTAGTTTTTGGATTTCTTTCAGAGGTAATTGCTCCATGTATAGCTGTACATTCAGCTCGTCCATGGAAGAGGGAAGTTCAGGAGAGTCTTATGTCACCATCTTGGTCCCCCTTCTCCTGCCTGTTAATGTTAGTGTTAAACTTTTATTACCCAAGGATAGCAAAGATACTTCAACACTTTTGGAAGTTTCTCCTATCAGTAATTGTGTTTTGTTTCATCAACTGAAAAATGCAAGGGAAAGGACATACAATTTTGTGTAGGTTATCAATTGCAGCATAGAAAACCACTCAAAACAATTGTTTATCCTTTCAGCTACACATCTGTAATCACCTGAGATGCAGTTGGTCTAGGCTGAATTTAGCCGGGTTGATTTGGTTTATTCATCTGCAGTTTGCTAGTCTGGGAGAGTTCTGCTCTCTACTGGCTTACTTTGTGCAGCCTAACTGGAGAGGTTCTGCTCCTCACATCTTTCACCTTCTTCCTAGAACCAGGATATTGGCTGAGATATGTTCTTCTCATGGCAATGATAGAAGCACAAAAGATAAAGTCCCATTGTGTAAACTCAATTCAAGGCTTTACTTATATCATGCCTGTTGAAATTCTATTGGTCAAAGAAAGTCCCATGGATAAATTCAGGTCACCAAACAATAGCAGGAGACACTTTGAAGGAGGTAGATTCAGGGAGATATGAAAATTTTAAGTCAAATATGCAATCTACCACAGACTGGGAATAGGCAAAGCTGGGTATAACTAGCAGCCTACCCAAATTCCAGCTGTGTGATCTTGAGTTCAGTTTTTTCAACTGTAAAGCAGGGAAGGCAATGCCTACCAAATAAGATCATTTGTGTGATTATGAGTTAATGTGAAGTGTGTCAAGTGCCTAATACAAAGTTGATCAGTAAATTTTCTGCATTCTCCTACAAAATGTTGGGCTCTAGAACAGATCATTTCTCAGCTTTTAAAAATTATTCTAGCATAATGAAATCTATACATATCAACATGCATAAGCACATAGTGATATGGAATGCTATGCCCTATGTAACATTAAATTTACATTAATTTAATCCATGAGTTAAGAAAATCTGCTTCTTTCCCAACGACTTTTAATTTTTACAGTCAACCTACAAATTTCCTTCCCTGTGATTTGAAAGCAAAATATTTGAATTCTCATATAAACTTCGTGTAATTATAAAATGTTCAATAAAGCCTCGACAAATGATGCATTATCTTTAATTCTTTGTCCTGTAATGACCATGATTAAATATATGAAAAAATGTATTAACTCTCTTCCTACAGGCTGAAGACTCACATCTATCTCTTGGATTTTAATCAATAGCACTGATTTTAGAATTGAATGCATTATTCCTGACGTAAAGTCATTAGTCTCTAACCTAGAGATTTTTCACATGACTTCAGCTGAGATCAAGTGGTGTTTGTTATTTCTTGAGAACTTTCCTGTGTAACTTTAAAACTTATTTCAAAGAGCTGAAGTAACTGAAAAACCAAGGATTTTTTTTCCTTTAAATGGCTCCTCAGGGAAGATGGATTGGACTGGGGTGAGTTATAATTCTTTTTTCTACAATGTTCATGACATGCACTAATGAAAATGTTCACCTTTATGTTCCTCTTGATTATAACGAAGGAATTTTTGATGCTACATAGGCATAAATTTTTGTTTCTTGATCAGAAAAGGGCAGGCTGGTTGTGGAGTCTAACTGCTAAAAGATAAAATTTGAGAACCGGAGGTCATTCTAAAGTTATAACTCTTTCCTCCATCCTGACAAATAACTAAAATTCAATTTTTTAAAATCTGAGGTCAAACTTTATTTTCTGAGGTTACCTCATGCTTTAGCGCTTTCAAAATAACTATCTACATATATAGTGAACCTCAATAGAAAACTCATCTTCCAGCATAATATAATCATGCATGTGTAAGTTGGCTGAAGAACAACTTTCTGAGGTCTGTAGCAGTAAAGAGCAGCCAGAAAAGAAAGAAACAAACAATCAGGTTCTCTTGACTCTTCCACTATTGAAAATAATGAATTAATTGACAGAAGACGTTAGAGACTGATTAGAGACTCAGAAAGATGGCTGATGTCTGAATCCTTTCCCTAGTCCAAAATGTGAGATGTGCCATTCAGGCATAGGTGGGGATCATAAATAACTGCAATCAAGATAGAATTAATCATATAAGAAAAAAAGTTTTATGTTTTATCACAACTGTGCTTTATCAGTTTCTACTGTAACAGAATATATATTCCCTAAGATATTAGGAAGTTTTCAAACTTTCAATTCTCTAAACATCAAATTCTTAAATTAATCTATTTATCTATCAATTTATCTATGTGTCTATCTATCTAATGTATACAGAATAAAATTTTTCTTCATCTTAGACTTGATCAAAATATAATAATGGCTACTGAACACTCAACTTGCTATGGAAGGTGACGGAAGTTAGTTGCTTCTTCAATCTATAAAAAAGAGAAGAGTAAATCTCCATGTTTCTTCATTCACAGGTGTATTCTGAGGATCAAATGAGATAATAAACAGCAGCAACATTTTTTAAGCTGTGAGATCTTAGATGTTATAATATAAATGACATATTGTATGTTTTGATATTTGTGATATAGTGGAAAGAATACAGGCTCTAGAGCTAAAGAAATCTCATTGGATCCTTCACCTATGAAATGGAGAGAAAATCATGTTTGGATTTGAAACGATATTTGTAAAGCATCTAGTGCCTTTCCTGAAATATAACACACGCTCAATAAATAACTCTTATTATTATTAATATATCAAAAGGGATGAAGAACTGATCTAAATAAGGAGGCATAGTAACAGGCAATTTCTAATTACATGCCCTACTCAAAATTAGACAGGTTCACATGACATTGCCAAAATTGTCCATTGAGAAACAGAACCACATCCAGTAGCTAGGAAGATACGAGGACAAGTATAGTCCCTCAATAAGGAAGGAAATGGCAAGAGTTAGAGAGTTCAGGGAACGCTTCTTTTTGAAATTAAGGAATTAAAACAAGGCTGAAGACTGTCGCAGTGACTGCACAAATATGCCTGGGGCTAGGGGAAGGAAATGTTGAGATAGCTGTGGGTATGTGGATTTCTGAAGTCAGTCTCGGTCCATCATCATCTGGCAAAAAACCAAGTTTACTTAATGCCAATAAAATCCATAATTTTACATAATTATATAAATGTGTGTTATGGACATTTAGCACATGTATACCCACATGCAATATATTTAAACTTTTATTTCAATTTTTAAAGCCCTTCGTATTTCAAAGTCCTATTATCACCACCCTTCATTATTTATTCTTTGCAAGAGTCAGGCTAACTACCTGCTGTCATCTGCATTAATCCACGCCTTTACTCTTGCCGTCCACCTGCATCAAATACTGTTTTTTCTATGTATTTGTTCAGTCTTCGCCATCTTTTTAAGCCCCAACTGAAAGCTGAGCTCTTCCATGAAACTTTCTCTGAATCCACCATGCACACTAATCCCCTTGTTCTCTGATCTTTTATTGACCCTAAGCTGTAACACTCCATTTAGCACATGCCCCATCTCTAGTCTTATCACATTATGTTAATCTTGTCGTCCCATTAATCTTGTAAACCCCTTGTGAGCAGCCGACTAGTGAGGAGGGAGAATTGGCTCTCTCAAACTCCATTCTACTTCCTTTTAATTTGAAGAAGTTACAAAGCTAAAAATATTCCTAGACTTCTTGGTCACTAAGATTCCAGAAGAGAATCAGGTTCCACTAGTTAGATCTACTTTGAGAAGAACTGGAGGGTAGGAATGAGGCAGCAGTCATTTTCTTGCACCTCTGATTATGCTGATGAGCAGTGTTGTGGCCATGTACTGGTTTTCTGCAGTAACATTCTTGTGCCCAGTCTTCACCTTACCAGACACACATGCATCCGTAGCAGCAGCAGTAGTTATGGTGGTGGCCTTTTCACCCTGCCTGCCTCATTCAACTACAGGGAGTGTGTTTTTTAACTCCCTGCAGTAATGATGGCCTCAAAATCAGCAGCTTCTAAAGGCCCTGCCTTGACCATGCACTTAAAGTTTTCCAATGTATTTCTAAGCATCTATTTCCCTCTATTAAAACTCTTCCAGTTAATAATTCCTACAGGGATTTCTGTGTGCACCATTGAGTCTTGACTGACACAGAGATCAGAAATTGTGTTTTATCATTATGTCTGACTGTTCCTTTTACGAAGTAAGAGATCTAGTAAGATATCAGTAAACACTTGGATGATTGTAGTAGTTACTTGTTGCTATGTAATAAATTACCCCAAAACTTGACAGTTTAAAACGAGAAAGATTTATTTTATTATACAGTTCCTGAGACTCAGGAATAGGTTGTGGTTTAACTGGATGGTTCTGACTCAGGGTTTTTCAGGAGGTTGTAGTCAAGATTTAGTCTGAAGTCTGCAGAAAGCTTGACTGACACTGAAGGATCCATTTCCAAGTACATTCATGTGGCTGTTGATAGTAGCCCTCAGTTTCTCACTGGTGGTTGATTAGAGGCCTTAATTCTTCAACACATGGATCTTTCTGTTATGCTGCTCATGACATGACTGCTGACATCCCCAGAACAAGTGACCTGAAAGAAAGAGAGAGAGAGAGAGAGAAAGACCAAGAACATTAAGATAAAGGGCACAGTATTTTTTGTAGTCTATGTTAGGAGCAAAATACCTTTACTTCTAATGTATCTGTCACAGAGCCCAGCCCTGTTAGATTGCGGGAAAAGACAACAATAGAGTCTGAATTGCAGGACATGAAGCTTCTCTTGGAGGCAGTCTGACCTCTCCACCAATAATTCATGTCTATCCTACATGAAAAATACTCTCACCCCTTCCCAAGGAACACAGAGTCTCATCCCATTCCCGCTTCACTGTAATACCCAGAATCTCCTCATCTAATCAGGTCCAGGTGCAGGGGATCTATTTGTGTGTAATTCCTTAAGGAAAGCTCCTTGAGTCTGATCCTCTCAATCTGGTGTCCTGTGAACTAAAGAGACAAGTGACCTGTGTTCCCTCCCCCACACATGTAACCAACATAAAATAGTGGGACAGATATGAGAACTGTTATAGGAACTCCTACTCAAAAAGAGAAAACAGGGTGAGAGATGTCAGCATCATTGTGGAGTGAACTGTTCCTGTAGCCTCTCCCCCCTAAGATACAACCAAAAGGACATTCGTTAGCCAACACAGGACACCCACACAGCACAAGAGGACATCTGAGAGATCCATGCAGCCATACATCTGAAGTGGGGGGTTGCTGGATTCCCAGGAAGTAGTGGAAGGAGGTAATCAGATCTATTCCCACTCCCCAGTGGCAGCAATTTGAGGCATGGACCTCCTGCAGTGCCTGATGCACTACTCTTGGAGGAAACAGGGGAGCAGGAAGGCATCCATGGGAATGCTTTCGCTTTCAGAGTTGCATCCCAGTCCTCAGAATGCTCCCCCCTGAGGTGGCTTGGCCACCACATGGGTGCTCCCACCAAGCCCAGTGGCCCTTAAGGGCCACGAGTGAGTGTAGAGCCAGCATGCGCACTCAAAGAAAGCGTCCTTCCCCTCCCCTCCTGCCTGACACACCAACTCGGCAGTGGAACCACAGCAGAGTGCCTGTGCCTATATGTGGTACCCACCAAGCAACAGTGGCCAGCAAACACAGATGAGCCCTACTGGCACAACTTCCAGCAGATGGGCACACATTCCAGCATACTTGATGGGTTCAGAAAACAGAGCTCCTGGGGCCAGCCTGATGGTGTAGTGGTTAAGTTCATGCACTCCTCTTTGGTAGCCCAGGGTTCACCAGCTTGGATCCTGGGCACAAACATATGCACCACTTATCAAGCCATGCTGTGGCAGGTGTCCCACATACAAAATAGAGGAAAATGGGCACAGATGTTAGCTCAGGGCCAATCTCCCTTAGCAAAAAAAAGATTGGTGGCAGATGTTAGCTCAGGGTTAATCTTCCTCAAAAAAAGAAAAGAGAACACAGCTCCTGCCTCTCTCCAGTGGTGGCAGGTGGAATCTGTGACCAGACACTACCCCTATGTGCCAGCAAATGTCCACCTCATCAAATACTTTGAAGAAATACATTAACACTCCAGATCAGAATGAAAATTACAAACATAAACCAATCCTGAAAACACAGAAATTTATAATCTCCATGACAGAGAATTCAAAATATTTATCATAAAAAAGCTCAAGTTACAAGAAGAAGCAGAAAGGCAGTTTAATGAATACAGGAATAAAATTAATGAGCAGAAGGACTTCTTCACACAAGAGATTGAAATTCTATAAAAAAAACAAACAGAAATTCTGGAGATGAAGAACACAAAGAATAAGATAAAAAGCTATCTAGAATCCTTAAAAAACAGAGCTGACTTATGGAGGACAGAATTAGCAATTTAGAGGACAGAAATATAAAAATGCTTCAGGTGGAGAAGAGAGAACTACAAATAAAAAATAAATGAAGAAATTCTCTGAGAAATATCTGATTCAATTACGAAATGCACCATAAGGATTATAAGTATTCCAGAGGGAGAAGAGGGGGAGAAAGGAGCAGAGAGCTTGCTCAAAAAAGTAACAATTGAGAACTTCCCAAACCTGGGAAAAGAAGTGGAATTACAAATAAATGAAGTAAATAGAACTCATGATTACATCAATGCAAACAGACTGTCTCCAAGGCATGTATGAGTAAAACCAGCAAAAGTCAATGACAAAGAAAAAATATTAAGGGCAGCAAGATAGAATAGAATAATCTACTAAGGAACCCCATCAGGCTTTCAGCAGACTTCTCAGAAAAAATCTTACTGGCCAGGAGAGAGCAGAATATATTCAAAATTCTGAAAGACAAAATCTTTCAGCCAAGAATACTCTATCCAGCAAAACTATCCTACAGATACAATGGAGAAATAAAAGCTTTCCCAGATAAACAAAAGCTGGCAGAATTCATCACCACAAGACTCCCCTACAAAAAAATGATCAAAATTGCCCTCATAACTGAAACAATAAGGAAAAGGTTATAAAGCCTTGAGTAGGTAGATAAATAGACAAAATCAGAAAATTACAGCTCCCTATCAAAACAGGTTAGCAAACACTTCATTATAATATTAAAGATAAATGGAAGGAAAGCATCAAAAATAACTATAGACACTTCATTTTAATCACAAACTCATAACACAAAACAGAATAATTTGTGACAACAGTAACTAGGAGAAGAGGAAAGAGGTGGAACCTACTTAGGCTAAGGGAGATACAAGGCTATCAGAAAATGGACTATCTCATCTATGAGATCTTTTATACAAACTTCACAGTAACCACTAAACAAAAAATCAGAAGAGAGACACAAATGATAAATAAAGAGAAACTGAGAAAATCATCATAGAAAATCACCAAACTGAAATGGCAGTCAGAAATACACAGGAAGAGAAACAAGGGAAATCTAGAACAATCGGAAAACAGGAAATAAAATGGCAATATTAAGCCCTCATATATCAATAATCACTTGAAATGTAAATGATTGAATTCTCCAATGAAAAGATATAGAGTGGCTGAATGGAATAAAAAACAAGACCTAACAATATGCTGCCTCCAGGAAATACATCTCAGCTCTACAGACAAACACAGGCTCAGACTGAGGGCATGGAAGACATACTCCAAGCTAATGGCAAACAAAAGAAAGCAAATGTTGCCATACTTATATCAGACAAAGCTGACTTCAAGATATAAAAGACAATGAGAGATAAAGAGGGGCAGTATATAATGATAAAAAGGACATTCCACCAAGAGGGCATAACATTTATGAATATATATATGTAACTAACACAGGAGTACCAAAGGACACAAAGCAACAATTAAAAGACATAAAGGGACAAATTAACAGCAACAGAATAATGGTAGGGGACCTCAACACTGCACTTACGTCAATGGATAGATCATCCAGAGAGAAATTCAACAAGGAAATAGTGGAATTAAACAAAAAACCAGAACAGATGGACTTCACAGTTATGTACATAACACTCCATCCAAAACCAGCAGAATACACATTCTTCTCAAGTGCACATGGAACATTCTCAAAGATAGACCATATAGTGGGAAACAAGGAAGCCTCAATAAATTTAAGAAGATTGAAATCATATCAAGCATCTTTTTTGGCCATAATGCTATGAAACTAGAAATCAATCATAAGAAAAAATCAGGGAAAGTCATAAATATTAGGATCAAAGAAGACGTCAAAGGATAAATCAAAAAATATCTGGAGACAGATGAAAATGAAAATACATCATATCAACTCTTATGGGATGCAGCAAAAGCAATGCTAAGAGGGAAATTCATAGCAAGACAGGCCCACCTCAGCAAATAAAAAAAATCTCAAATAAGTCATCTTAAATTACACCTAAGAAAACTAGAAAAAGAAGAACAAAGCCTAAAGTCAGCAGAAGGAAGGAAATAATAAAAACTTTAGCAGAAATAAATGAAATACAGACCAAAAAAACAGTAGAAAGGATTAATGAAACTAAGTGCTGGGTCTTTGAGAAGATAAACAAAATCAACAAACCCTTTGCCAGATTCACTATGAAAAAAAGAGAGAAGCCTCAAATAAATAAAATTAGAAATGAAAGAGGTGAAATTACATTGGATGCCACAGAAATACAAAGGATTGTAAGAGAATACCATCAAAAACTATATGCCAACAAGTTGGATAGCCTAGAAGAAATGGATAAATTCTTACACTTATACAACATCCCAAAACTGAAACAGGAAGAAGTAGAGACTCTGAATAGACCAATCACAAGTAAAGAGATTGAAACAGTAATCAAAAACCTCCCCAAAAATAAAAGTCCAGGACCAGATGGCTTCACTGGAGAATTCTACCAAACATTCAAAGAAGATTTAATACCTATCTTTCTCAAAGTATTCCAAAACCTTGAGGAAGATGGAATGCTTCCTAACTCATTCTATGAGGCCAACATCACTCTGATCCCAAAGCCAGACAAGGACAGCACAAAGAAGGAAACTTACAGGCCAATATTGCTGATAAGCATAGATGCAAACATCCTCAACAAAATAAAAAATTGGTATACTGAATACAGCAATACATTAAAAGGATCATACACCATGATCAAGTGGGATTTATATCAGGTACGCAGGGATGGTTCAACATCCTCAAATCAATCAATGTGATGCACCACAGTAACAAAATGAGGAATAAAAATAAAATAAAAATCACCTGACCTCCTCAATAAATGGAAAGAAAGCATTTGACAAGATCCAACATGCATTTATGATAAAAACTCTCAATGAAATGGTCATAGAAGGAAAGTACCTCAACATAATAAAGGCCATATATGACACCCTACAGCCAGCATCATACTCAAAGGGGAAAAACTGAAAGCCATCCCTTTGAGAACAGGAACAACATAAGGGTGTACACTCTTGCCACTCTTAGTCAACATAGTACTAGAGGTTTGGGCCAGAGCAATTAGGCAAGAAAAAAAAGGTATCCAAATTGGAAGAGAAGAAGTGAAACTTTTGTTGTTTGCAGATGACATGATTCTATATATAGAAAACCCTAAAGAATTCATCAGAAAACTATTAGAAATAATCAACAACTACAGTAAAGTTGCAGGGTACAAAATCAACTTACAAAAATCAGTTGCATTCCTATACTCTACTAATGAACTAGCAGAAACAGAAGTCAAGAATACAATCCCATTTATAATCACCACAAAAAGAATAAAATATCTAGGAATAAATTTAACCAAGGAGGTGAAAGACCTATACAATGAAAATTATAAGACATTATTGAAAGAAATCAAAGGTGACATAAAGAAATGGAAAGATATTCCATGAACATGGATTGGAAAATTAAACATAGTTAAAATGTGCATAGTACCAAAAGCAATCTACAGATTCAATGCAATCCCAATTGGAATCCCAATATCATTCTCGATAGAAATAATACAAAGAATTCTAACATTTATATGGAACAACAGAAGACATCAAATAGCAAACACAATCCTGAGAAAAAGAACAAAGGTGGAGACATCACAATCCCTGACTTCAAAATATACTACAAAGCTATAGTAATCAAAAGTGCATGGTACTGGCACAAAAACAGACACACAGATCAATGGAACAGAATTGAAAGTCCAGAAATAAAACCACACATCTATGGACAGCTAATATGCAACAAAGGAGCGAAGGTCATACAATGAAGACAGGAATGTATTTTCAATAAATGGTGTTGGGAAAACTGGGCGGCCACATGCAAAAGAATGAAAGTAGACCATTATCTTACACCATACACAAAACTTAACTCAGAATGGATTAAAGACTTCACTATTGGTATTGAGCATGATTCAGTCTATACAGAATACTGATAAATAGTAATGTACACCTGAAATTATACAATTAAGAACCATTATGACCTTTATAAAATAATTTTTTTAAAAAAAGGGAAAACAGGAGGCTTACATACTGACCCACAGCCGTTCTGAAATCCATCCAGGCACATGTTGAAAGTTCCTTGATCAGGACTCAGTTCACATCCTGCTTACGGATGACTTACCATGGTTCTGGGCTCCACACTCTGGGATCTTGTTTCCTTACTGTTAGCTATTCTTCTTCACAAAAAGAAATATGTATTTGCAGCTGCTTCCTCCTTGCAGAAGTTTGGAAATTCAAAGACTTTTCATTTTCTACTCCCTTTCAGTTAAGCTTTTTGTGATTCTTCAAACATGCAGTAGTCCCCCTTTATACATGGTTTTGCTTTCTGTAGTTTCAGTTACCTGCGGTCAACCACAGTTCAAAAATATTAAATGGAAAATTCCAGAAATAATTAATAAGTTTTAAATTACACATTGTTCTGAGCAGCATGATTTAATCTTGCCTCATTCAGTCTGTCCCACCCAGGATGTGAATCATCCCTTTGTCCAGCATATTCCCGTTGTATACACTACCTGCCCATTAGTCACTCAGTGGCTATCTCAGTTATTGGATCAATTGTCACAGTATCTCAGTGCTTGTGTTCAAGTAGCCCTTATTTTACTTAATAATGGCCCCAAAGTGCAAGAGCAGCAATGCTGGCAGTTCAGATATGCCAAGAGAAGTCATAATGTGCTTCCTTTAAGTGAAAAGATGAAAGAAAAAATATGACTTTACTTAATAAGGAAAGAAAAAATAAAATATATGCTAAGGTTGCTAAGGTCTGTGGTAACTTTTATTACAGTATATTGTCATAATTGTCCTATTTCATTATTAGTTATTGTTGTTAATCTCTTACTGTGCTTAATTTATAAATTAAAGTTTATCATAGGTATGTATGTGATACCAAACCTCTTAATCTCAAGTTCCTGTGCCTTATGCACAGTAAGCCAATCACTGAGACATCCACCTCGGAGATGGAGAAAGGTTTATTCCAATTGGCCAAAATGAGAGGGCAGGAGGATAGGTTCTCTCAAATCTGCCTTAACAAAAGAGGAAAGCATGGGGTCTTTATAGAGCTAAGGGGCTTTGGGAGGAGGAGTATCAGAGAAACAAAGGGGAAGTCCACTTTTCCCTTCACTCCAGGTAAGCCCTTTGGCAATCAGACTTCTGGGCCTTAACAGCAGCTGGGGGCTGGTTATCTGGTGGTTGTAACTTCCTTAAAGGCATTATTTTCTTTCTGAAAAACAGCCCCATAAATCCTTGTGACCCTTGAGTCATCCCTCAGAAAGGATTAACAAGAAAATAGTAAATTAACAAGAATAATTTCTTTTCATCTGTGTTTGTCTTGGGAACAAGATGGAAGGGTACCAGGTTCTTACTGAATATTTACAGTAACTCTCAGGTACCCAGCTTCATATGTACAAAAAAAATGTAGTATATATAGGGTTCAGTATTATCCACAGTTTTAAGCATCCACTGCGGGTCTTGGAATGTATCCCCTCAGATAAAGGGAGACTACTATAATTTTCTTTGAAAATATTTTGGTTTTCTTGAATCTTATTGAAGTTCATTCCATTTAATAAAAGCCACAGCCACAAATCACTTTGAGGTAAATCCTTTTCGAAGTTGGGCTTCTGTTAACACAACTGAAGGGCAACTTCCTTAAACTTCTTAAAGGCCCTATTATTCGACTGTAGGGATTTATGTCATATCCTTAACATCTTTAGAAAATCTTTTGTCTGACTCCAGAGTACTCTGAAATTTCAATTTAGGTTTTTCTAAGTTCTTAACAATGAATTGTACAGGCATACCTTAGACTTTATCTTAAAAATTTTTTTTCTGACAGTGACTGAATTTGCTCTTCGCTAGGAAGCCATTTCTTAATTTCAGCAGTTTGCAATCTAGAAAGGCTGTGAACGTTCAAAACCATCAAGTCTCAGTTTCTTCATGTTCAGCACTCTTCCCTTTAGCTTACCCTTTCCTTCTTGCATTTTATTAAAGGCTCAAGAACATATCAGGCAGCATCTTTCACACTCTGGCCACAGCTCTCCTGACTAGATTACCCAGTTTCTTAGGTACATTTTCTACTTTCTACTTTACTAGAAAGCAATAGTGTTGCTAAATTTTGTGTCACTGTATCATAAGGACTCCCTTTCCACCAGTTTCCAGTAAGATACTCATTCCTCCTGTAAGCCTTTGCTGGCAGCCGCCTCAAAGGCCATAAGACATAGTAAATTTTCACTAACAGTCTCTGCAAAATCCTCCCAGCTTTGTCCACTTCTTAGCTTCCAAGCCACTCCCACATTTTTAGGTATTTGTTATACACAACACACACCTGGTAGCAAAATCTGTATTAGTTATGTATTCTTGTATAACAACTTGCCCCAAACCTCAGCAGCTTAAAACCTAAATACTTACTATCTCGCAAATTTTCAGAGGGTCAGGAATTCAGGAGCAGCTTAACTGGGTACCTCCAGCTAGGACCTTTCATGATATTACACTCAGGATGTTCACTTGAGACACGATCATTGGAAGACTTGAATGGGGCTAGAAGATACACTCCCAAGAGTCTCATGGCTATTTGCAGGATCCCTAAATTTATCATTGCTGTTGGACGGAGGCCTCCGTTCCTCACCACGTGGGTATCCCTAAAGGTTTGCTTACAGCTCTCAGAGAAAATGATCTGAAGGCGAGAAGAAAGCAATCAAGATGTAAGATGCAATGTCTTTTATAACAATTTCAAAAGTAACATACCATCTCTTTTCCTGTATTCTGTTGGTCACACACACTAACCCTGGTACAATGTGTGAGGAGACTACACAAAGATGTGAATACCATTCAGAAGCTGGGATCAATGGGATCCATCTTGAAGTCTGGCTACCATAATAACTGAAAGATTCTCAGACAATGTGTGTCGTGTGTTTCTTGTTAAATGTTGTATCATAAGAGTTTATTGAGTGCCTATATCTAGAATGAATTTTGAAATGTAAACATATTTAATGAGTCACATATTTTATGAGTCATGTGTATTAGGGTTCTCCAGAGAAACAGAGCCAATAGGATGTGTGTGTGTGTATATATATATAGAGAGAGAGAGAGAGAGAGAGAGAGGTTTAAGGTATTGACTCACATAATTATGGAGGCTAGCAAGTCAAAATCTGCAAGATGGGCCATCTGACTGGAGACCTAGAGAAGAGCCAATGTTGCATCAAGTCCAAAGGCCATTAGGCTACAGATCTAGTAAAGAGAAGAGAACCACTATTACAGTTCAAATCCAAAGGCTGTCTGCTGCAGAATTTCCCCATGCTTGGGGGAAGTCAGTATTTTGTCTTATTCAGGCCTTCAATTGATTGGATGAGACCCACCCACATTATGGAGGACAATCTGCTTTACTCAAAATGCATCAACTTAAGTGTAAATCTGATCCAAAACACCTTCACAGAAGCATCCAGAAGAGTGTTTGACCAAATATCTGGGCAGCAGTTGATACATTAAATTAACTATCACATCATTTAAGTACTGTACAGTTATGTGTCTCTTAAAGATGGGGATACATTCTCAGAAATGTGTTGTTAGGAGATTTCATTACTATGCAAACATCATAGAGTGTACTTACAGCCTCCTACACACCTAGGCTACATGGTGTTAATCTCATGGGACTGCTGTTGTATATTCGGTTCATCGATGACTGAAACATCCTTGTGTGTCACGTGACTGTACTCATATTTAAGCAAGTAGCTGAGATATGGTATTTTAGCATGATGAGTTAGAATATTTCTCCCACAACAATACCTATATGTATTCACTGATTTGCCTTTCAACTGAGGCTCACTCTCAGTTCAGAGGTGGTGAGAAGGTAATTTTTAGTTAGCTCTGACCAGAGGGTAGAAAATTAGAAATGTCTGCTGTTGGTGTTCAGACATTTGTTATAACTACCATATTGGGGTGAGGTAACAGAAACAATATTTCAAGAAAGGCCAGATAGGGCCACAGGAGAAAATTATAAAAAGAGAAATAAGAACCTATACTATCAACTCTCTTATCTATAAGATCTGGGCATTTAGAAGAGAGCAGAGCATTCATGTACAAGGAGGTGGCATGCACAGTGATCTATTGCCATCTGACCATCTGATGGCTTTGCAAGCCCTGAAGAGAAAAAGAACTGAGTGAGTGAATAGAAAGAGCTTTTATTTTGGTGACTTAGAAACCCTACTGCCAGAACATCAAAAGAAAGCCAGACAAATTATTTCCCCTTCTCGAGAGACTGCCACACTTTGTTGGAATTAGAAGAGGAAATTGGAAGCTGGCTGCATTGGCAGGACTCTGAGTAGGACAACAGAGTAATGAAAGCCTGCCCTAGTGCCCAAAGGGCCAGGAAGACTGTGTCTAGAGCAGCATGGTGATAGAAGCTTAGACTGGTTCATGACCAATGTGGAGCATACTAGCAATAGTAGGAATTGCTACAGGGATTAGAACTTCTGAGTGAAGAAGTAGGAGCTTGAAGTTAGTAACACTGCAGTAGGAACACAAAGGTAACCTAAATTGTACCCATAGGTTAGGGAGGGCTAGAGAAATTTGGTTTACAAAGTGTGAATACATGATTTCTTGTTTTCCTATTTTCTGGAACAAAGCCATATCCTTGTATAAGATTCTTTCTCCTTTAAAAAAGCAGCAGTCCACACTCATCATATATTTACCTCTCTTATTACCTCATTCAAGAGAGAAGAAAACATTATATATCTGTAAAAAAAAAAAAAAAATGCACACTGGGGAGCCAGCCCTGATGGCCGAATGGTTAAAGTTTGGCACAGTCCACTTCAACAGCCCAGGCTTGGCTTCTGGGCACAGAACTGCATCACTCATCTGTCAGTAACCATGCTGTGGCAGCAGTTCACACAGAAGAACTAGAAGGACCTACAGCTAGGATACACAACTATGTAGTGGAGCTTTGGGGAGGAAAAAAAAGAGGAAGATTGGCAACAGATGTTAGCTCATGGCCAATCTTTCCCAGCAAAAAAGAAAGAAAAAGCATACTTGGTAACAAGAAGCAAGATGTCTAGTCCTCTATGTCATGGACTTAATAAGCAATTTCACAGAACGTCAGTTTTTTCTGCTGTAAAGGGAAAATAGTAATCCTATCATTGAGATATAGGCTAAGGAGATTAAATGAGAGAAAATTTGTGAAAGAATCACGTACAAACAAAGTGGGGAGTTATTATTTGACTGACTAGGTGTCTCCAGTCAGGAAACAAACAAAATTGTGCCTCTCAGTACCTGACTTTAAGTAGAACAGTCTGTGCCAGAGTACAAAGTCCTTCA